CCACGGCGAGAAATTGTAACTCTGAATTTCTTTGTAGAAACTTCACGCAATGATTTTTGGTGCTAAGGTACTTTATGATGTGGCAAATTTTCTACCGCGGAAATATAAAAACGACTCCATGTTACGGAAGTCCAGATTAAAGAATCAAATAAACAGATTTTTGAAAAAGAGATCTAGATTCTATACGTCTGTTTTTGAACCAAAACCTTTGTTAAATAAAAATAGATCTGCAAAACATTTCTCGAAGTATTGTACAGACGTATACAAAACCTAAATATGTTCAATTAAAGATATATATTTTAAATGTTATGCAACATACTTTTTATAATAAATAATAACTCACTTCTCTAAATTGCCTACTAAGCGACCTACACACAAGCCCGTCTGTCAGCATGCCCTATCCGTCATCTTCTATGGCCGTCCTGCCTACAACTCCCCCCTCTCCCATCAAGCCTACGCTGCTCTATGTGTTCCTCTCGCTCATAACGCTGCGCCCGTCTTCCCCGTACGCCCTAGCGTGCTACCACGGCTGTCCTGCCCACCCCTCCTGCCCCCGGGAACAGTATTCTGCTGGATCACTTCTTCGTCCGTCTTTCCCGCACGTCCTATCTGGTACACGATGGCAGACCCCCCCCCCCACACACACACCTATCCATTCCTTCCTCATCTGTTCCTCAGGCTCATCACGCACCTCTCGCTTCTTCCGTCTTTCCTCCTTGCCCATTCCTTCCTCTTGGTCTGCGCTTTCGCTCCACCTCCGCCCGCGGCGCCTCTCCTCCCTCTTCGCATCATTCGCTCCTCTCGCTGCTTTCGCTTATTCTGCTTGGCCCGTTCCTTGTTGTCCTTCCTTCCTCCCTCCCTTCCTGTTCCACCTGTTCTGCTCGCATCTTCGGGTCCTGGTCGGCCCTGCCGCGCGTCACATGGCAAAGCCCAACGACAATCAAGCTCAGACTGATTGGGGATTGCGGTTAAATGGATATTAAAAACATTTTGAGATAAAAGTTTTCAATATCTAGTACGCTATTTTCCATTCTTGGCTCCTCGATAGAATTCGTGCCAAAGTTGGAAGCAATCACTTCAGATGTTCTAAAGTTTTCGTGCATATGCTCTCACATTTATGCGACGATGCTTTGCAATGCGGGGGATAAAATATCTTCGAAACCATGAGGGATGTCAGTGTAGAGCTTAAACTGGCTGGTCCCAGACGTAGTGTCTATAATGTGTTTAAAGTTAATGTTGACAGATTAGGTAGTTTTTGCGTTAAATTGGTTCATTCAGAGGGATCGACAGATATTAATTGATTTTACATGACAATTATTTTCTATTTAACCACAAAAAGAAGTTAAACAGTGTGTGACATGCTACGAGAAGACGTGTATTCTGTGCACGTTTTCTTAATTCTGGGATCCCTACACCAAGCCATGTTGAATTATGATTACAGAAAGAAAGGAGCCTTTTGCCAAGAATTGATAAGATAATATTCGTTCCGGTGTAATAAAAACTATTTCCAAGGGCAAATCAGCTATAGAAGCCATCAAATTCCTGCAGCGACGACATGGAGAACGATGATTTAAATAACTATTTCTCATTGAACTCTAGAAGACGTGTACAAATAGTGAAGTTACACAGATTAATTTTAGTAATCTAAGTAAACTCAAAAAGTATCAAAAAATATATAATTCGAAAATTACAGATACTTCAGATTTATTTACATTAATAATAATAATAATAATGATAATAATAATATGTGTTTATTAATGACGATGATGACTGTAATAAGACCTGCTCATCCACCTGCCTTGTTAATGAAGATCAATACAATACTCAAATATTTTTAAATTAGCGATGCCACAACTGGACGTACTTTGTACGATGGTTGGTAACGGTCGAGTATTATTATAATTTTGACATATTTATCCTACTAATACATCTGCCGTCATTTCAAAAACTCTTAACCAAAGAAAGCACGAGAATTTCGGAAATATATACATTTCTTTAACGTTTTGAAAATTAAAACGATTATGAAAAGGGTTTTCTGCCATTAAATCCAGTGTTTCCACTTCTCGTAGAAAGAAAGAAACAAAACGTACATAAAAAGGAAAAGAAAGAAAGCAAATTATTTTCGTAGGTCTAGTATTTGAATAGCTCTTATAAAGCTAATTTTATGTTACAAGAGCTATGTATTCCATTAGGCTATCAAATCATCCTTTGCCAGCTATGCTTTCAAATTACAATAATGAATTTCCAGAGCTGTGGGAACTGCAACATTTATGTAAAATTTCGTAACAGAAACTAGCATTTAAATAATAAATGATTTAAATATATCAAATTATATATTGCATATCTTGAAGAAATATCTGCCTTTAATATTGTAGTTGTTGTAGGGTATCAAAACTATTTTGAACTTCTCCGACTTTCCCAATTTCAAAGGCTGTCATGAACACCCGACTTATTCCATATTCTTAAGCGGATGTAGTTCAACTTGGTAAAAAAATATGGAAATAATTCGAGCTGGTTTTGTTGAAATACTGCATATGTATAATTTACAAATTGTCATGATATGACTCGAGATTACAATTAAAAAACAGATATTTGTAAATAATGTTACATGATATGATTTAAATACCTAATTTTGAACAGAACATTATCTCTATCTTCATGAATATAGTAAGGGGGTAAGTTTAAACTTTTGTGATGTTTGAAATTTTAAAGGTTTTTGTGAAAACTGGTCCTGCACTATTTTGTACAAGAATGCGTAACGCTACTCGAGAAGAAAGTTTGTAAGAAAATATTCGGAGCCATTGTTTAGAAAAAAAATTGAAACATTCGAAATTTAATAGATACGTTTAAAAATCGAGGAGCTGAGATATCAGCGAGATTGATTGGAGAATATGCAAATCCTATATAAAGCTTAGGTACTAGGGTTTCTTCGACAGATAAATAAATATATATAAAATCTATAAGACGAGAGTCCACTTATTGTAGGATGAAAATACTTCCTTTATTCTACGATTAAAACAAGATTAAATCGGCACTTTTATTGCAGTTTATTTGTTACATTTCATAACTTTCTCCACATGCATGAGAGAGTGCATGAGAAAGTGAAAATGTGAATCAATTCACAGCAACCAGAATACTTACATATTCTTTGGAAAGCAAATGTGCCGCATCTGTATCAATGAAGTATTATTATTTACAGTTTTTGCATCTTTAATGTTAATGGACATATTAAATCAATATTATTCTAGATTCCTCTTTCTTTAATAATAGATAATATTTTGTATTTCAAAGCCATTCAAAATTCTAAAAGTTCCATATCTATCTGATAATTAACGTTTCATGCCTATTTAATCATGTTTAAGTGTAGCCTCGTAAATTAAAGAGAACGATGTTTCCTAAACTGCATAATTTAAAATAAGTAAATACTTCTTACACTGATTGTGTACTTCATTTTTATTTCAATTTCCAGAATTATTCAGCAGGAGAGAACTCGCACAAGTTCAAACAATTGAAAGGCAATTAAAATTTTTAAAAAGATGAGAAAACTGTCATTATTAATATATCTGATGTAAGGTCAACATATATCCCATCAAAGTATGATTTCCATGAACGATATGAGCGTTTATATACGATTAGTCGGCATGTGTCGACGCTAAAGAGATAATTGTAGATATTTTAATTGTACATTTGATGTTTGGTAAGAAATACGTTCTGAAAATACATTAAGACTGATTGTTTTAATATAATAATTCCTTTTCTCATTCATTTTGACTTTAAAACTACTCATTTTTAATATACTTTTGGATAGAATTAGTAAGAAAAGCTTTTTTGTTTGGACTCTCCTTCCTTAATTTTACTTTAAGAAATGATGAATAATTTTTAACTATTAACCTTCAAAGTGAAACTCATTACACTGAAATTAAAATAATTACTTTTCTCTTTGCATCTAAATAATTTATATTCTTGATTAAGATTGTGATCGATCAGTAACATTCAACTTGCTCACCGGAAAATAGACCGCATCTTGTGTCTTAAAGTCATTATCAATTGAATCATCAGAAACATTATTCTCAAAATCGTATCTGCAAATTAACAGTAATCAACAGCAACTTCCAAGATGTAGGACTTCATATATTTTCTTTGTAAGTCCACAATATTAGTGAATCATTTTGCTCAAATTTTAATTAAATACTTGATAACAATTTGCAATAATATTACAGTACTAATTCTCCACTCTCACTAACCTTTTTTTACAAATGTTTACTTCTCAGTCATTCAATTTTTATATCCATCATTTTTGGAGCCTTTTTGAAATGAGCAATACATGTGTGATCACATGCGCATTGCCGATTGCAGTGAAGTGTCATTGGTATGAGTTTTGTGCTAGGGCAGTTTAGTAGATATTGAGACAATGAAAAAGCGAAAACAACCTCCACATGTTACACGATATTATAAAACATATTTTTGTAATATCTGCAAATATCTCGTAAGATATTTCAAACGCAAAATCATTGAGAATTAAAAAGGTATTCTCATAATAAGAATCTGGAGACATCAACGCTTGAGTAGACAAGAAAATATGGAGACTTGAAAGGTTGAATGGACAGTTAACCCCTAAAATATTAATGAAAACTGTTTAGATTCATGAAATGTGATTCATCAATAATAAAATGGTCGCCAATGGTTTCATGCAATTTTTCTCATACATTTTATTATTTCAAGGAAATGATTTTTAGGTTCTGTGTTTTCATTGTACAAATAACAGTTAACGTCAAAGAAACAACTCTGCAAGTAAAGTGCCAGAACTAGAGACGAGGATTAATATTACAAACGGCTAATGATGGGCTACTTATTTTAGTATGCGGACAAAGATGTCTTTCAATTGGATGTACATAGTTTTTATGTAATGTGAAAAATGATGGAGAAGCTAGTTTAAAATGAAATATTCAGTGCAAGCAAAGCGCATTAGCATGTGGGCGCAGGCGGCGAGGAGGGCCTACCTTGCGTGGCTGGGGCGCTGGGTGGCCGGGGCGCTGGTGGCGGCGAGGGTGGGCGCGCCCAGGGCGTCAGCGGGGCTGGCGGCGGCGGGGGCGCGCGCAGGCGGCCAGCGGCTCACAACACATGTTGGGCGACCGACTCGACGGCCAAGGCGGAAGCGCTGGCGCTGGCGCTGGCACTGGCGCGTCGCGGCTCGGCTGGGCTCAGCGCCACTCACGCCGGCGCGAGGCGGTCGCGAGGCAGTGGCCACATAACGGCATTGGAGAAGCACTCGGCAGGCAGGCCGGCGATGCGTCTGCGCGT